GTGTGTGTGTGTGTGTGCTTGTTTCAGGATGCAACAACTTCCACTGCTGCCACTGTTGTCGTTTATGCTTCTGTACTCATTGTTGTTGTTGTATTTTATTGCTATTCTTCCTTCTTCTTCTTCTTCTTCTTCTTCTTCTTCTTCTTCTTCTTCTTCTTCTTCTTCTTCTTCTTCTTCTTCTTCTTCTTCTTCTTCTTCTTCTTCTTCTTCTTCTTCTTCTTTTTCTTCTTCTTCTTCTTCTTCTTCTTCTTCTTCTTCTTCTTCTTCTTCTTCTTCCTCCTCCTCCTCCTCCTCCTCCTGGCATATTTAGTTTCTGCTCCTGTTTTATGCATGTGTTACTTCGTTTGATAAAAGCTGCTTTTGTTGTCATTATTTCTTGCATTGTCGCTGTGGTTGATTTTAAATTTCTTTTTTTCCTTTGTGCTTGACGGTCTCTTTGGTGTAGATTGCCATATAGGCATTTTTCAACAATTCTTTGATAGTAAAATCAATAACATTTTTCTCAACCATCTGTCGCGTACAAGTGGTATACAATGATAAATGATAATTCAGTGAGGCTGAGATACTTTGCTATTTATTGTTTATTGGTTGAAATATAAAACATAATATAAAGTTACATACCAGCTCCTAACTTAGATGGGCTTAAGACTTGGTTGCTGAGGAAATATGTTTTTTAAAGTTGAAATGGGGAGTATTTTACAAGAACAATACTCACTAGTTGTTGTTTTTTTAATTAGGAAGTACCTGTAATGTCTTAATGTTCGTCTCTCTCTCTCTCTCTCTCTCTCTCTCTCTCTCTCTCTCTCTCTCTCTCTCTCTCTCTCTCTCTCTCTCTCTCTCTCTCTCTCTCTCTCTCTCTCTCAAACACACACACACACACACACACACACACACACACACACACACACACACTCACACACGCATACACACACTCACAAATATACATACGTGCACATCAACACCCATACACATAAACGCAAATATACGAACACACAAACATACACACACATTCACACCTCTTCGCATAACAGACAGCCCACCTATTATCGTCCTAATGGTTGCCTCTTCTCCCCCCCCCCCCCTCCCTCCCCCAAAGGCGCGGGTATTGGAGTTTACTCAATAGCTGCAGCCCTCATGCACAGGAAAGTCGTGGCAGTAGAGCCCTTGAACAAGAATTACTTGATGCTGCACAAGAGCGCATATGAAAATAAGGTAAGTAAAGGACTCATCTATTATATTATATCTGGCAACTTGGAAACACATGCGTCACTTTTCCCTATAAAACTACGACAGCTACAGAGTTGAAAGTTGGCAAGTACCTGCAAAAAGATAGATAGGTCCCCATGACGGAGCCCGATTTTAGATTTATTCATTTCCTGAATTTAGAAATATATATATTTAACAAAAAGTTCCAGTACTTCTTTGGCCTTAGTCATTATTCCTCTGAGAAACGAAAAAATCTGCATAACTGTCCTTCACAACGGAAGTGCCGAAAGTGATATTTCGCAAGGCGCATTTTGTTTTGAGAGTATGGATCTAGACCTTCTAATTTTTTGCACCTCTCAAGATTTATTGCTCCATTCCAGTAGAGTGTAAATACAGTAGGCCAATGACTTTCAGTTGATGTTATTGCACAGATCATTACCTTCATCGAAAGGGAGCCCAGCTAGTTTCTGAATAAAGCTCTTTAAGGCTCTTTCATTCGTTGCCGACATTAATTTATTTGTTGTCTTTCCTTATCGGTCTTCGTTGCTTTGTTGTTTTACATGCAGTGTAGTAGTAGTAGTAGTAGTAGTAGTAGTAGTAGTAGTAGTAGTAGTAGTAGTATCACTTCCATCACAGTGTTTCGGTTATAATTGCTTCAATACTGTCATTAATTTATGTTCGCGTTTGTGTTAATTTTGTGCTTTAGTAGAGGTTTTACGGCGCTCGCAACTGCATAAGGTCGTATGAGCAATTTTGTGTTTATACCTGTCGTAGATGAGTAGTAAGTTGTTCTAACATTTTTTAGAGTTCTTATTTTAATGGCTTTCCAGGTTCTTTTTTTTTTCAAGAAAGAGAGCCTTGCCTGCTTGTTCCCCATCCAGCCCTAAAGAAAGAAAAAACAAAATTGTTTGCTATAATTGAGAAAGTATTTTTAATGTTTGAAAAATATAACCATGCGGAACGATCTATCAAGATATACAAGTAATGCATTTGAAGACTACAGGGGGAAAACTACTGTAGTCACAAACTGGAAATTGTGAGGGTGCCTATTTTAAAAGCGTGTGGACTCACAACTTCATATTTGTTTGACTGGTGGTTTATTGTTAAGTGTTGTTGAATATGAAATTTAACAACAATAATCAACTAACAGTTGAACAGAAATACAGTTATGAGTCAACAAGCGTTCAAAATTGGTACCCTCACGATTTTCAGTTTGTGACTACAGTCATTTTTCCCCTTTAGTCTTCATTTGCATATATTCTAGGCTTCCAGAATAGGAGTGAGCCCGTATGCTGCTCACTTCCACAATTGGAAGTGGTGTTTTGGAATGCTCAAAATGTAAGGAACTTTTCTCTGCCAGAATTGGACTCTTTGATCATAGCAGAAATCACAAATTATCTTAACCTTTTATTCTACTATTTCGCTTGAGAAATATTGACCATAGCAGAAACCATAAATTATCCTAACCTTTTATTCTCCTATTTCACTTGAGAAATATTCTCCTCTGTGGGTGTATTGGTCATCGACAGACACTGACGGACGAAAACTGTCTGATACAAATAATGTAATATAATATATATGCATAATATGCAATATATTGTATATCCAGGTGTATATATACATACATATACACACACATATATAATATACATG